AGTGACTGAACCCAACCTATCTTTTGTGTCAAACACAAAACGACTGACACAAAAGATTTGGATGATCAAAGATTTGAATATCTATGCAGAAACGTCTGACACAAAAGATATGGTGTATCTACTGTGTCTACAACTCCTAGCGCATGGAAGAGTGGGTGCTACCCGTTGGTTAAGGTCAGGTGAGAGGTTATGACAAAAAGGTATGAGGGTAAAACAACTTGTTGAATAGTAACAGCTTTTTTTCTCTTTGGTATATTGCAAACTACTCATAACTTTTTTGGTAGGAGAGCAAATTTCTCTTCTATTAATTCTAATGAATTGTAGTTTAAATTGTAAAGGAAACAAGAGGAAATTTAAAGCTGTGAGGCTGTAGCTGACTTTGCTGTTGAGTCTAATGGGGACTTCAGTTACAAGGATGAAGCTGATACTTGAATACGTACTTTGTATCATCTTATTATTATGTTAAGATTGTATCATCTTATTATTATGTTAAGATTGACCCTCTAAAACATAATGCTGTTGTTGTTGCTCTATTTACATGTGTTACTAGAGATAACTTCGTCAAGTACATGGTAAATTGCAAGGGAGCTCCAATGCTACAACTAACTTGATTGCTTACTCGAGGTTTTGGTGGAAGAAATACAGAAGTAAACCACCAACATGGACGCAAACACACGAGGACATGAAACATGAGTACATTAGGACACCAGCATTGCGTCGAGGCAACATAATATATAACAAGCTTTCCATATTTACAAACAAAAGTAAAACAAAGAGACGCTTTATTATTTATATACAAGCTTGACCGGTTTGCTATTGATTTTCAAACCACAACGGTTGTCGTAACCTTTATCATCCTCATTTCAACGTCCACTAGTCACCCAACAAACACCAGGATTATGCAGCTTTCACCATGTCTCCGCATTCACCGCTACAACCACCACCGCAGCTGCTGGCCTTTGTTGCTTTCACCATGTCTCCGCATTCACCACTGCAACCACCACCGCAACCACTGGCGTTCGCTGCTTTCACCATGTCTCCGCATTCACCACTGCAAGCACCACCGCAGCCGCTAGCCCTTGCTGCTCTAACCATGTCTCCACATTCACCACTACAACCACCACCACCACAACCGCTAGCCTTTGCTGCTTTTATCATGTCTCCGCATTCTCCACTGCAACCACTACCGCAGCCGCTGGCGTTTGTTGCTTTCATCATCTCTCCATATTCACCACTACAACTACTACCACAACCACTAGCGATTGCTGCTTTCACCATGTTCCCACATTCACCGCTACATCCACCACCGCCGCAACCACTGCCTTTCTCAGGAGCTATGACAGCAGCCGCAGTCTTTCCATTTGCAGTGTTTGCCTCCACTTTATTTTCTACCGCAGCTACAAGTTTAGTCTCTTTGCTTACCTCTTTTAGTCCATTACTTTTAAGGCTTTCCTGTTGCGCCACTTTGGTTGTGGTATCAAACCCATTGGATCCTCCTTTCTTCACAAGAGTATTTAGTATGAAAGCAGATACGATCCCAGGCAAAACCAACCAATTCTCCTCAGCCTGCATATTGAATAGAGTCAAATGAGGAAAATAAAGGTACAAGAAAGAAAAACAAAATATCGAATAGTCTACACTTGCCTCAATAGAACCAAACTTCAAATCCAACAACGCCACAGCTTTTCCATATGGATGCTGCGTAGAGAATTCAACAAGGGTCATGAAATCCTCATCACTTCTACGGTTTGCACAGTGTTTTGGTTCATAATCCAGCTTTCTCCCAGAGAATATTTTCACCTGCAAAACAATCAAACAGCATTGAAATGCATTACAAAGTCAAAACAAGAAGACTCTTTTGGAGTGAAACAGCAGAGTATACCATTCTAGTTCCCAAAAGCTCATACAATGGAGTATTCACATCCGTTTGCCTGAGTGACCATTTCGAGTCCAACAAAGACCAGAAAGTGCCAGTATACTCTGCGAGCACACGAGTTTCACCAGAGTCCATCACACCAATCACTTGTCTTTGAGCAGTTTGATCACCTTTAAGTGTTGCTCCATCCCTATATAAAGCGGTTTGTGTTATCATATAGGAGAATGAGTTCATTATGCAAGAGAGAACGTTAGTTGTCTATAGTGGCATACCTCATTTGAAGTGAGATCACCTCTGTTTGGGTTTCATCAACAACATGTGTTGAACTCTTAGCATGACGGGACTTTCTGATGATTGGAAAGAAGCAAGAGCCTTTGCACGATGGTCTCGACTGAACCATGTGTAAAACAGACGGACAGCGTGTTGGCGGAGTGAAAGAGACTGCGACTCTCAGGCTTATGGGTTTTGGATCTGTTTTACTACCTTTACTGGGCATTACCTCCAACCATTTCTCAACAGAGAGATGGGTAATAGCTGATGAGAAAAACTCTTTTAGTGACAAAGATGCAAAACCTAAGCTTTTAGGTTCCCTGGAGACTGGTATTTTAGAAGGTGAAGAGGAGACAAGCTGGAAACGAAGCTCTCCTGTTGGTTCACACTGGAAAAAAGCAACTTGCTTTTCGCCAGCTTCAGATAAAATGGTCAGTCTACGCTCAGCATCAAAAAGAGAATCAGGCTGAGTCTTGCTGAACACAACCGAGAGCTTTCCTTTATGTCCATCTGGTATGTTTCTAACTTCGATAATCTCCAAGAGAGCCTGCAGGTTTGCAAAAAGTATTACAAGACTGCAAAATTATAAACAAGAGAAAAAGCTGAAGAAACTACCTCAACAACTTCCACATCTGGTACTTGAATTAAACTCTCGAACTCTTCTTTAACCGTCGGTTCTTTGTCCAAAACATCAGAAACATAAGGAGAAGTTGTGACAGGTGCAGGTGTACTGCCTCTATACATCGCACCGGCTTTCCAGTATCTTCTACCAAATGTCTCCTCCCACTGAGCAGTAGTGTTAGAAAAACCGGTATCAAGCTTCTTACCTTTGCCACGGTCAGAATCTGTGTCATCATGCTCCAACACCTTACCAATGTGCTTATCCAAATCATTACAGTAAGCAACCGGGTGGAGCTGGTGTGTGTGCCAGATAAGGTCAACATCATAAGTGGGAACGCAAAACCGTTTCAAAGACCTTTCTCTGTTCTTCTTAATCAGATAGAGGAACCCTTTATATCTAGCAACAGCTTCTCGTAGAAAAACGTCGTTGCTTACATAAGATCTGGAAACCTATCGCAAGTACCAAATCAACAGATGAGAAACAAAACATCATCATATTGCTTGTCATAAAAATTTAAAAACAAAAAGACTACCTGGTAGTAAAACGAGTTTTGCCTCTTCACAGCTGAAACCAAATCATACTTGGTGCATTTCTCAAGATCTGGAGATTTTTCAGAGACTACCTTATCCACGTCAAGGTCATAAGGCTCCTCGGGATACAACCTTTTCCACAAATCTTCGGTCTTAAGTTTGCAGTTACCATTCACGGAAGAAACAACGCCAGATACGTCGAGTAACCTCCCGTAAAACTGCTCACAGTCAGACTTATACCTCACCTATAGATTCAAAAGCATATTATCACCCAAAACACACAATAACGATGATATTTCTTTAAGACAAAACTATGTGTTAAGCTTACAGGGTTAAGCCTATGGCAATGCCAAATCCATTCACAGTCAAGAGGAGGGACCAAAGGACCTTCACTAAGTGAGTGTTTTGCAAGCAAAGGAAGCCAACAAGCATTGTACCTGAAACATCACTTAAAAGAAACACATCAAAGCGATGTTCTAACACAAAAAAGTAGAGAATCTATTGACTTTTGTGTCGGATTAAAACACCTGTAGATGGCTGTCTCAAGTGCAGGACCGTCGTAGAGCCACCGGTTACGATCAACAGCAGCGAGGAAGAGAAGCTGTTGCTTAGCTGCAGCGAGTAAGTCAACGCTGGTCTCTACCTTCTGTGCTTCAAGCCACTCCACTTCATGATCATTATTCTCTTTATCCATCATCCTAATTCAATCAACTTCACCTTCAAGAAAATGATTAAAAACCCCCAAATTAAACACAACGATCTGTGACCTAAACTCAATTTGATCCTTAAAACTAATTTAAATGAATGTTTAGGAGAATTAGAGCAAAAATATCTTAGGTCCAACGCAAACAAGTAGGATAAGAAGCTAACCGGAAACTTAACCTCCGATCGCGAAAAATATTCCGTGACTTGTTGGCGGAGACTGAGATAGGAATTACTACTATATAAAGGACTTGAGAGAACTGTACTGTACGATCATCACAAGGAAGAGACTTTGTACGATCATCATCACAAGGAAGAAAATTTCAAGATGACTAAAATGGCCCTACCAATAATATTCGTTAACTTGAACCTACCACCAATAATTGGACAGAAGAAAAAGGCCTAAACCAAACTACTTTTAACGTCTACTGAAAGACACAATCTACCGGTTATCACTTATCAGAACCCTATCGGTCTAACAATGGTTTGGATATCAACAGTGTCTTTTTCTTCCCTTCAGAATCCACTTCTCATTAGATAGGTTTACATAAAATACATGTGTGGATTTGTGAGCAAAGAATCATGCAAAATTTATTTGTACAGTGTGAAATCTAAACCGGTTATAACTCCTTTCATTTCTTTAAACCGGTGGATTCTTTGAATTCAGCTTCTGCCCTGCAAAGACTGACTAGATGAAACTAGAGGAACCATTGGAAGCTAAAAGGAATCTCCCGAAGATTAAGACAGTTCTTCAGGGTATAGATCATACAACTCAGTATTGTTTCGTTTGTATAAATCATACAATCTGTTGTTTCTGGCCTGTCACAATGTTGAAGATCAGATCCAACGGTGGTTTGATAAGAGATCAACAAACGCTTTTGGTTATAAACCTCTCTTTAGCAGCAACCCAAACAGTGTGTAATGTTTGTACTCTCTAATGATCTATGTATAGCTTCTTAGCCTTGGAAAGGGCTTCTAATATTTTCAGTACTAACATCAGTGGACTCAGAGATTCTTGATCAAGAAAATGATCAAAATACCATAAAGATCAAAATGAAGCCAAAGTCTAAGTGACATAATGAAATATGATTTAGCATTCAAAAGATCTTACAAGTTACATCAACAATGGGATAGACAAAGATGCACAGTTCATGTGTGGATTCATACTAATAGTATACTGCAGCAATGAATGATTTCAACGAAAGATGGTTCTTCCTTCTGATTAGGTTCAGACTCAGGCTACTTGTGTTTCAGGTAGCAAACAGAGAAGGATTAGCTGTAGCCGTACTCACTTGAACCTCAAGCATCTCCAAGCGACGTTCCAGAAGATCCAACTTCTCATTCAATGATGCCAATTTGCTCTTTGTCGTCGATTCTGCATACACACAGCAACTCACAGTTACTATTGATGGAAAGATTCATCAGTTTAGCTAAAGAGAAAGTTTCCAACAACACAAAAACATGTTCTAAAATCAGATGGAACTGGAGCTGAGAAAATGAAAGTTTCTGGATCTAAGAACATGAACGTCAACATAGAGCCGAACCAAATGAAAATGAGATCTGAACATTAAAAAAAAAGCTATAACTTTTTCATCTAAACCCATCATACCAAAAATCAATCTCCCAACCTTTCTTTAACAAAACCCTAAAAAGTTTCTAAATTTAGCAACCAGAACCAAAACCCAACACAGAGAAAGCAAAGAAAGTTACCGAATTGGACGAGAAACTCGAAGAGACGACGAACGTTGAGAGAGATGTGTGAGATGAACTCACGATTCTCCCAATCTGCTTGAACAGCGATTCCTACGTTCACTGCGTTCGTGATTCCTCCTCCTGCTTTCGCCATTCTAATTTAACTTCCACAATACGCAGATTCTAAGATTCTTGCAGCTTTTTCGAATCAATCAAGCTAAGAGAAATGATTGAGCAATCGATTGGAGAACGAGGATCACCTCCCTTTTTTGAATTTTCTCTCACAAAAGGTTCTGAATTTTTTGATCTTCCTTTTCGTCGCAGGTTTGCCTTATGATTGAAGAGGAAGTAGGAAAATTTGGGCGTTTGATGAGAGAAAGAGAAACTAAAGGGGCTGAGTTGTTATTATTCGTTTATATGAAATGTTGATAAGATTGTTGTTACATTTGGTGGGCCGGTTCGGTTCGGTTTATTTAAATATTTTGTTTAGATTGCGTAGTTTGTATCCAATCTTTTCGTTCTATTCAAATGTCACTATCCATCAAAGATTAGCAATTCTTGGTGCTTCTTCGTATCACCAAATGATGAGAAAAAGGTTACTATTACAACCAATCTTTTTAGTCTTTGAATTTAAGATATGTCGCAAGTCTTTGAATCTTTTTAGTCTTTGAATTTAGAGTAATTACATCCCATATCAGTGTTTGAAATATTATTTAAGTAATAAGTAAAAGGTTTTTCGATCACTGTTTAATTATTTACTTTGGTTCCGAATGGTAACAGCAGTTTAAATATGGTACAAGTGGTTTAAATAGTGCGGTGTGGTTAAACTGCAGTTTGTTTGAATAGCGCATACTGCAAGACAAGTATGATTTGTCTAAAAGAAACAGTTTAAAAAATATGTGAATGATGATCAAAATAATAGATAATATAGGACAAATGTTTGATTGGTGATTATAAATTAAAAATTGTGGACTAAATATAAAAGAATATTTTATACGATATTATACATACAAAAATTCTCATGGATAATCTTTTTAATTTATTTTTACAAAAATAGGCCTTAAAAAAATTACCAAAATAAATTTTGATTAGCAATTTTGGTGCTTCTTCGTCACCAAATGATGAGAAAAAGGTTTACTATTACAACCAATCTTTTTAGTCTTTGAATTTAAGATATGTCGCAAGTCTTTGAATCTTTTTAGTCTTTGAATTTAGAGTAATTACAGTTGATATCAATGTTTGAAATATTATATAAATAATAGGTAAAGGGCTTTTCGGTCAATGTTTATTATTTATTTTGACTCTGAATGGTAACAACAGATTAAACGGTGCAGGACAATCAGTTTAGATAGTGTGGTGTGGTTAAACTGCAGTTTGTTTGAATAGCGCATACTGCAGGACAAGTGTGATTTGGCTAAAAGAAATGGTTAAAAAAATATATGTGAATGATAACCAAAATAATAGATAATATAGGACAAATGTTTGATTGGTGATTATAAATTAAAAAAATGTGGGCTAAATATAAAAGAATATTTTATAGGATATTATACATACAAAAATTCTCATGGATAATCTTTTTTAAATTATTTTTACAAAAATAGTCCTTAAAAAAAACAAAATAAATTTTGATTTTAAAGGATAAATATACAGTTATATAATTGGATTAACTAATCAAGACTTAAGATTTAGAGTTAAGGGATGAGTTTGAGTTTAGGATTTCACATTTAAAAAATATATTACAAATTTCAAAATAAAAAAGATTATTTTGGTCGGTTTATTTTTTTAAATGCTATTTTTCTGAGGCTAACTTAAAAAAGCTATTTGAGATAATTGTCCTTATATATATATTTCACATATGTTTATTAAATAGAAATAAATTACAATGAGAAAATAAATTTATTTTATTGATTTTTCCATAACGTATTTGCAATATTATCTCTTATTTGCGGCATATGTATTCCATCTGTTAACCCAACTATTTTTACATCACTCAGATCAGTTTCCTCTTGTGTGTTAAATCCTTCTGTCTCTGACATAAATTCAGCAAAATCTGTATATGAAAAAATTGAAATCTTGATAAAATTATGCAATCCTATTGTCGCCATTATCACTCTCTTTTATATTTCAATACTATATCTTGGAAAATCAGAAAGAATCCTCCAGTTTTTCTTCCAAACTCCAAAAGTCCTCTCGATAACTGAACCTAAAGACACATGAAATCGATTAAACAACTCTTCTTTATTACGTGGATCAGGTCCATAATTGAACTGAGACATATGATATCTGACAATATTGTTTTGTGCTGACTTATATGGAGCTAGAAATCTTTGTTTGTTTGGATAACCCGAGTCAACAACATAATACTTATCCATTGGAGGTAAAAGAAATTCAGAATCACTTTCTTGTGCCATTGTGAGAACGGCTGTATCATGACAAGATCATGGTGCTCCATTCCATATAAATGTGAATAACATATTTAGATCACAAATTGTCATGATATTGAACGATGCATTATCATGTCGAGTCTAATACATTCCTTGTAACTCTGGTGGTACTTTTACCGAAATGTGAGTCTCATCCATAGCTCCAACAAATCCACTAGAAATGGATAATATCTTGGATGTATCTGAAGTCTTTCAGGAATTCGGTATAGCTCTTGTCTTGTTGGAGTTCTTATATAATCGCATGCAAGTAATTTTGTCGCTTTAATAAGTTCTTTAAATTTTCTGTTCACAATCTCTTGATTTCGTCGAAATCTCAATCCAACATTTATTTGAACTTCATTGTGTCCGCATATTTGCAAAAATATAGCCACACTTTCCTCAATACTTACATTTGATGTTGGTTGTAGACCAATTAGATAGTAGCGTGTTACATAATGTTCGGAAACAGGGAAGTGACATTTGTAGGAGTTGAAGACAATCAGCATCATCTTCTTGAAATTGAGACCACATATTTCTCCATCCCAAACCTCTGTATGTCCGGGCAGGTGCTCTATGAAAATGTCGATCATAATTATTCAAAGATGGTTGAATTACTAACTCCTCAAATTTCTCATTTTCTAAATTTCACAACTCAGTTCTCTCTTCATAAGATAACGTGTAGATGTTATGTGATCGCAACTGGCATATACGAAATGTCTACAAATTAATAAAAACGAAAATACTACATTAGAAATATATAAATAATAACAAATAACACATTAACTCACCACAATAATATAGAAATATTGTAAAACATTACAACACATTAACAGACCAAAATAACATAGAATTACTTAAAAAAACATTACAAATTAAAACACAGAAATAATAATAAATACTACATCACAATAGTAAAACATGATAGTTAAATGCTAGTCTTCGTTTCCTGAATCACTTTGATGCCTTTCATTAGATTCTTCTGTATTTCCGCAAATATTGAATGGACCTCCACGTCCCGGTCTTTCTGATGTCCTTCCAGATTCAAAATAATTTGTGAAATCGATATTAGGTGATGGTGCTTGGTGGAGCGTATATGTGCTTGTACCTTCTGAAAACCTTTGTCGAGTATTTATCGGACTTTCAACTTGATTTTCAATTGTAAATCTAAACTGAACATTTGTTGGTGTTGTTCCCGAGGAGCCAGCTTGCTGAAATTTTGTTTGTGGAATGTTCCATTGCTGAGGATATGGTGGTGTACTCTATTGCTGAACATTTGAGGGTGTATTTCAACTGGGACCATTTGGAAGTATACCCCATGGTTGAACATTTGGTGGTGTTTCCCAATACTGAACATTTGGTGGTGTTCCCCAATGTTGAACATTTGGAGGTGTACCCCATTGTTGTGCTGTCGGTGGTGCACCCCAGTTTTGAATTTTTTTTCCTCTTGAAGTATTACCCACTAAAGATGGACTACCAAATGATAAACCTCTAGAATTTAGACTCCCAACTAACTGGCCAGATCCCAATTGTTTTGGCATATCTTCATTGTTTTGTGATACACCAGTCATTGCTTCTAGTAGTTGCAGTTTATCCTCGTCATTGCTTGTAGCTATATCAATGAAATAATTCCGCCAAAAAACTAACTCTTTAAGTAAGTTAATGCAAGCCCACTAAAATTTGGTGAATTTAGGAAGCTCCAAAGCAAGAAATATTTATACTGCTTTTTTGAATTCATCATAATCATCCTTATCAAAAGCACCTGGGCATAATTATTGCAGACTTTGTCGTTGAAATTCTTTATATCCATTAATTGTATCTTATATCGTAGTCTCAAATGATTGTCTTCTTCGATGACCTCTTCAAGTACTTCCAACATTGGTTCCTGAGTTTCTAGCAGACGTTTGCAAAGTACTCCCACGTGTACCAGTTCTTTGTAAACTACTCCCACGCCGTGTACGTTCCTCTCCTCTTCGAGAAGGAAGCCGAGTTGAATTTTGAGTATATTCATTTGAAGGATGTGTATCGGCATTGAGGTCAACATGATATAATTCTTCGTTTTCTTTTGGATTTCAGGAACATTGTGTTCAGCTATGTCATCACCATCGATGTCTAAAAAACCCTGCAAGTCATCTTCTTCTATTTCTTCAGCCAATATTTGTTGTCTTCGTTGGCGTGACGACTGTTGAGGTTGTGAATAAACATCATGTAATACAAAACATCAAACCATCACATCCCAAAATGGTGGTGGTTATCTTTTAAAAGATCTTGTTATTTTGCATCTCTAATAAAATTTTGACATGTATAAAGTTATAAATGTATTGGCTATATGTATTATGTTATACTGTTTAATACAATTAAAAATATTATTACCGATTCACGAGCTTTCCACCATTCGTTTGATGTGTAAATCATCGAAGTCTCCGGATCAACCATTATACCAGTAGAATTCATAAGAAACTTCCACTCTTTATATGCTTTTTTGTAATCATCAAGTTTGTTTCTAAAACATGCGTAATTTATATTCAAATTAAACGCACAGTTAAATTTGTCAACCATGTACTCTCTACAAAGAACCGTTGTATCTTTAAGAGTATAATTGTTTATAGCAATTGCTTGATCATACAACTCAATCAACGTTTTTCCTTGTTCGTAAGTCCATATAAATCTTGAAGTGGTCTACAAATTTAAAATATTTTATAGTTAATTTTCAATTTTGCCAAAAATATATAAATAAAATGACTGATATATTTCCAGTGGCATTCCATCAGCTTCTGTGGTGGGAGGTTGTAGATGACGAAATACATGTTTGAGCTAATCAACATCCATTGGTTCACCATGTAAAACTGCCAGTATCAAAGCAAAACTGTAATAACATAGGACTCGCCTGTCATGCTCTATCTACCTTCAAATATAATAAGCCAAAATCCTACTACTTATGATAATATATAGTTAACAACACCACACTAGGATTTGTTTTGTATATATTAAATATAAGCATACACGTTTTACAACCACTCAGTCCTGGGATCCCTGTGTTATTTATTTAATGTACAATATTATATGTTGGGAGAGGACACTATGTAATCTTTAAGACAGTTCTATGCATACCTATTTCCATCAATGTAAATGGTTAATATTGTGTAGTTTTTATAATTTTACCTTCTTCATTAGCGACATTGTTGTTTTACTCATCAGTTGACATGGTTTCTTCAGGGATTGTGATAATATCATCGACAGTTAAGTGTTAGTATTCATCCCTCTCTGCATGTGATGGTGCATAGATCATCTCTATCTCAAGAGCAACTCGATATACTATTAGTAGCTGAGGTTCACTGAACATTATCTCCAACATATTCTTGCTACACACAATGGGTTGTCCACAAACGAGTTCTGAAACCAATCAAAATTACAGTATATGACAACAAGATAGAATTAAGTATTAAGTTTACCACAATAGTAAAGTCGGTTTCTCTAAGAAAAACAAACCTCTTATGGCTTGTTGATGTTGTTCTTCCGTTATTCCCTCCCCTAAGAAAGTCTTGTCGCATATTGTGAATGGAGATCGATGAAGGAAGTTGTATTTTGCAACAAGTTGAGGACCACTTGTCACATACAACACCGCTTCTGCCATATACCATCTCACACTCAACATCACACCCACATCTTCATCGCTTGACAAAGTTATCGGAGGTGTCCTTGGACCTTCGACGTCCAAGGAAGTTGATATGTTAAGGCCACTGGAGTGAGAACCCCAAGATCGAGCCTTATACAAATCATCTCCACTGGAGTGAGTCGTTGGTGGTGATTAACACAGTTTCTCCTTGATCAGCAGGATTTTCATCAAAGCACCACTCGAAGTTCATTGTCTTTTCCCAAACACATTCCAAAAGTCGTACTAACGTTTCCATCTGATAAAAATAAACACAAAATCTTTAGTTCGTTTTTTTTTTCAAACTCATAAACGTAAAGGTGATATAAATTTTTATCTATAATAGTTGCATTTTTTCTTAAATATCGAACCTTTAGAAAGAGACCTAAAGCTGTCTTCAGAAGAAGATTATCCAGAACCTTGAAGACAAAAAGGAAATGTTTGTTTGCTTTTCTTACTAAGTATGTGGTGATGGGAGTCTGCATTTATAGCCAAGTGGGATCGAAAACTGGTGATACATACATCTATACAACTTTACAAAACAAGCTTGAACCAAAGTGCATTTAATGCAGCATTTTTTCCTTTTCGTGGGCGTCACTATAGATTAGTAGAGTAGTATATTTGTCACATAATATCTCTGACATGACATTGATATCTTTATATATAAAGAAGGGTTTTATCCCTCCTGAATGAGACACGTCAGTAATACAGTAATTCTGGACGCGCCATGTGGCACGAAAATCCAATCCGCAGCGTTTCATTAAAGATGGTGTTATGTGGGTTTTGTTTTCGTTTTGGGCCTTAATTTTGCTCCAGTCACCCAGCCCACAGATAGTAGCCCTAACTGTAAACGAGGCTCTAAACGTCGTTTTGATATTAAGGTTTGCGCCTGCTATCGTCTCCACCATTCGAGATGGAAACACAACCTGAGCTCTGACTTCTAAGAGCGTTGTTTCATCTCCTTCTTTAAAATCAGAAAAGCTATCAGTTACATATTCATCGTAAAGTCCTTATTAAATCCATCTACCTTGAATGCGAGGTTTCCTTATGCAAGACGGTGGAACTGTGACTATAAAAAGAGGTAAGCCTTCCTTTCCTTCAACATCCTAGCCCAGAAAATTGTTTTTTTACTGAAGTAGTTGGATTCTCACTAGGTGTATTTGCTATTTCATCCACCTTCGAATCTTTTAGGATTTTTATTTTATATTAAAGAAGTATTGATTTGTTGATCAGTGAACATGCAATTCTACTTGATTTGGGCTCTCTGTGAGCAATAGCAATGCGAGACGGTCTCCTTATATTTGATTACAACCGGTAATCTTGGTTTCAGTATATATGTTCTTCAGATCATTCACTCTTATCTAAAATTATTTTCAGGAGAGGAGGACGGGCCTTTGTAGGTACATTGATGATACCTCGGATCAATCAACCCAAGAAGTATAAATGGAGGACCCTCAATGCATTTGAGCTCGAGGTTTGTTTTGTTCATTGATATACATTTATGTGGAGAAGAAGAAACATATATAGTGTAGTGAAAATCTGATCTCATGACCCTATCATCATTAGATTAATTGATTTTTTTTTTTAAAAAGATCTACTTAACTTTAGCTCATAATAATTTCCAACATCTTGGTGTTGATTTTTGATTACTGTGGCTCCCTATGAGGTTGTTGAATCGGCCCTAATCTCAAGGATACAACGGTTAGAGCAAACACTTATGGATATAGAACCCTGTGTGAGTATGCATGATTGTGACTTTTCAGTTTTCCATATCGACTGCTAGACTGTGAATTCTATTTAACTTGGTTGCTTCTGTGTCTCCAAAACATGATAAGTTTTGATATAAACGCAAAATGTACTTTTCTTATAGTACTTCTAAGTTTGAGTCTGCATATATCTCAATGAACTGAGAACGGTGGACGAATGAGCTGAGTATGGAATACTTAACACGTTCTTACATGAAACTGAACCGAATCTTTTAGGATTTTTATTTTATATTGAAGAAGTATTTATTGTACACTTGCTCTGAATTGCAATTTCATGCCCTTTGATTAGGTTCAACTTCTTCTTTAGTTTTTTCCTAGCCACTTAACTGCTTATATATTGGAGGGACTTCGTATTAGCAGATGAATTATCACATGCATACAAGAAAAAGAAACGGCGAAGCATTAAATGCAGACACTGTATTTCTACTGTCACCGTTCACCTAAGTAGAGGAGTCATTGGCATAGTTCAATTCTAAAGGTCCTGATGTTTTGTACTTGAACTACACCAATAGATAAGGTGTCATTTTCGCTGTAAACACACGCTTCTTTCATTATTAATTTTCAAGTAAAACTGATGGTTTCGAAACGCCTGCACCTGCTTTTCGTAAGAAATTTGGATTTAGTGTTGCTTGCCTTTTCTAAATGAATCCACAATCATAAGTATCTGAAGTAAAATTCATTTGTTAATTGTAAATGTACACACCAAATATTTAAGTTCACTTTGTTTGTGTTTGGGCGTTTTGCATTCTGTTTTGTAAAATATTTTTACGAAATCTTAAATATTTCAATAGTGTATATTTATCTGCACTTTATTCACATGTAAAAACAAACACATAAATTGCAAATGAAGCAATTCAAATATAAGAATATACGTGAATATCTTAACAACTTCCAATTATGTTACTGAAACTTGAAAAGGAGGAACAACAGTGCTATAAATGTATCTGTTGTGGGTTCAGTGCACAACGGATTTGGATTCAAGAATGTACAGTTCATAAAAAAACTAGAACATGTCCAGATTTTGATACAGGTCAACGAGAAGATGGAGATGATGACCCTTGGGGTAGTGGTTTCACACATAAGGATGTCCGGTACAAAAGATACTATATAGAAAAGATTGAAGAAGTCACCTAATAGATTCACAAGCCAATAAGACACACTTGATCACACCCTATTGCCATTAAAATCTTGAAACCTGATGCTGCTCAAGACATACTCACAGGGTTTTTTTTTTTTTTTTTTTTTTTCACACACCCTGTTGCCATTAAAATCTTGAAACCTTATGCTGCTCAAGACATCCTCACAAGGTTCTTTTCCTTAGTATGTGTCATGCATATAGGTACTTGGTGTAAAAAATTATCATAATTACTTGGGCTTTTTACCCCGGAACCGACCTGAAATAGCCGATTCGAAACCGAACCAAAATTTACAAATATCTGTTGGGTCCAAAATTCTTTTACCCGAAAGAACCGGAACCGAAAAGAACCGATCGAATATACCCAAATCCAAAGAGAACCGATCCGAATCGATCCGACCGGATAAGCATCGATTTATACCCGACTTAATAACATGAACATCCAAAACTATAATTTTGTGTACTACTTTCTATATTTTATTTTATGATTTAGTTGAAATATATTTTTGTTAATAATTTTGTTATTATTTATTTTAATATTTTAAGTAATATGCATTTTTAAATGTAAAGTTTAAAAATATTTTATTTTAGTTATTCATAGTTTATTTATTTTGTACAAAATATAGATATGTATGACAGATTTTGACTAAATTTGATCGGACTTGAGTATTTTGTATCCTTTTCATATCCTAAATAACCGAATCCAATCTGGACCTGAAACAAATCCGAATATTACATATATTTTATAGGTATTTTAATTATTGACCCGAATCGACATGAATCCGAGAAGAAATTACCTGAGACCGAACCAAAAATTTACAAATACCTATTAGATCTAAAATTTTAGGAGCAGAAAAGACCTGGACCCAAAAAAACAGACTCAAACTCGGCTCAAACCCGAAAGCCCAAATCTTATTACAGTAAAATAAACAAAGTAAATATGTAAATATTATGTATCCATGAACTATCATAATCTATTATAAGAATAACAAAATATACACAATAAAAATTGATATCACCTTAAATTTAAGTAAGTTAAACATTTTTAAATATTCATTAACATTAATGATATATTTATGTAATTTTTTGGTTACTAACCCGCCCGTAGGGCGGGCCAACCCTAGTTAGTTATATTTACATTCAAGTAATTACGTTCTTATCTACTTACCATTTGGTTTAACTTTCAAAGCTTTTTAGTTTGGTTTGAAAGTAATGAAATTTTGATAGTTGGTTAAACCGGTTTGTTCAAACGGTGAGGTAAAGATTGGTTCGTTTGTTTTTTTTCCACATAAGTAATATATATTTCTTTGAAACATAAGGACCAGGCAGCGTACACATACTATGTTTGTGAACCTTCCATTTCCCATAATAAAAACTCAACCTCAACTCGTTATCTTTAACATCTTCTCTTTCTTAAGATTAACAAACAATGGCGTATAGTCAAACATCATCGGCCTCTATTGGTTCAAATCGTGGTTCCGACGCTCCCCCTTACCACTGTTCACAGCCAACTGTCATGACGGTTTCATGGACCGATGAAAATCCGGGAAGAAGATTTTTCAAATGCGGGGAACATGGATTTGTGGTTTGGCATGACAAGGAGCAACCCTGTATTTGGCAAAAGCAAAGTCTATTAGAAGCAAGGGAAAAGATCCTTACGCAAACACAAGAAATCTAGGCTTTGTGTGCTGCTATTCATAAAGAAAATGCTCAGATAGCTGCATTGGAAGTTTCTCGGTCTTCTGGTTCAATTAATGAAACTTTGAAGTCAATTGAAGATTGGGTTACAGCATACATCAATGAGACCGAGAAGATGGTCTGTAAACTTGTTGTTTATTCTGGTGGAGGGTTAGCCTTAGCTACAGCCGTAATTGTCTATTTCATAAAAATAGTGGATGCTTACCAATGGTTTCTTATTGACCCGCGTTTATAACGTCTTAATTTTATATTAAGTACCCCAACTAAAGATCTTGTTTTATATATTATATAATTTTGTTTTCTTACCCACTCTTGTAATAATCTCCAATTTTATTCGTTTGTAATATATGAATGGTAATGTCATGTTTCATTATATTTTACATGTTACGTTAGAAATTAGTCATGGTTATTGTTTTCCATTGTCTAACACAACCACTTACACAGTTTGTAAAGAAGAAATTTTTAAAATTATTATTTTGTTTTATATAACAATAATAATACAACATCAGACAACGAATTTCGCCATGCGGCATATATCTTGTTCTTTATTTCAATATACAAGTTGCAACATTCCCAAATAAGACCTAACCTATTATAAAATATATTCGGCTTTACAGAGCTATAGGGGACAAAATGGTAAGTTCTCATTTCTGGTCTTAACTAAATACCTAATTTAATTTTTCTCTGCATGTTTACCTAAATATCTTTCATTTCATGTATTTCTAGCCAAATACCTCTTGAATTTAAGTGAATAATGTGCTAAACTAAAGAAATATTATTATACTGCGATTTTATGACTTTTAAATTACAAAAAATTCATTAATAATTATATCTTCTAAATCTTAGAGTTGGTATTGTATTCACTATATATTTTTAATAATATATT